CTTTCCTTTCCTTTCCTTTCCTTTCCTTTCCTTTCCTTTCCTTTCCTTTCCTTTCCTTTCCTTTCCTTTCCTTTCCTTTCCTTTCCCTCTTTAACTTGGGGTACTTAAAGTGAATTATCCCAAAGTATAAACACACCAAACCACAAAGCACTTCAGTTTTACCCTAAGGGAAATTCAACCAAGTCGACCTCAGGCAGTGTTTGCCTATGTTGTGTTTTATTCAAGAATGTTTATACGCATTAGCTACTCAGTTATTCTTTTAAAAAGAAAATAAAAAAGCTAGCTTCTTGGAAGTGAAGACAAACCCCTACCTAAATAAAAATATTCAGATATGTAGTTATGGTTCATGTCACATCTTCAGAACTTTTATAATCTTCAAGGCTCCCCATTAAAAGTTCTTCTAATTAATAAAAACCAACAGCTAATAATTAGGAGAACTAAATCCTCCTCTCAGACAAATGTGTGCAAATCCCATTTACTGCAATGGAAATGGCTCACAGGTGTGTTACATTAGACTCCAGCCACTTGGCAACTTGACAGGAATTCAGTGTCTAGATCCCAACTTCTTGTCTCCTCTTCCAGAGGCACAGGTAATGCCAAAGAAATCTGACCCAGGTTTCTCCACAGGCCCCTCAGCAAACACTTTAATCACCTATTCTTTTCTCCATCATAACAACTCAAGGCTAAATCTGAATTTTCAATCCTAAACATTACAGGTTTGCTTCCTGCCTAGCAGATGGGAGCTCTGCCACCAGCTATATTAAATCCAGCAGCAGTGATTATGTTTTACAGACTTCAATTCTATCAAATCTATACAGCAAAATCTACTGTATGACATCAAATTCAAGGAATTCAGGCATTTTACAGCTCAGGAGTAATGCAATAATTCTATTGCCATACTGTTTACTTTGCCCTTCCTACACGTTTATTTGTGCTTCACAAAGTGAACAGTAGGTCACTGGGAAAAATGGATAGGCACAGAAAAACAGGAAACTGTTCCTAGGGAGCCACAGAAAGAGTGAAACAACATCAGTTAATTTTTGAATGGAAGGAAAACCTTACAGTTTGACGATACTTTCTCCCTTCCATTTTATTTTTTTTTTCAAGATATTGATGCAATGAAAAGTTTTAGCCACACTCAATGTAAGAATATATCATAAAACAACTGCTGTTCTGCCTGTTTAGGAACATTGAAGGTGTCACCACAATCCCAGCCGTGGTTCAGCCTACATAAAAATGGACATGTGGTTTGTCATCACTGAATTCTCTAATTCAAACATAAAATTGGCGTTTTAATTTAAACTGGGTTCAATGCAGCATGAAAGGAAAGACACTCAGGTGTGATGAAATGTCATGGGTCCCTCCAATAGCTGTCCCTTCCAGGTGATGACAGCTCTTGCTTTAATGACCTGCCTGTAACAACCAGTCACAATGTTAGTGACAGCATGTTACTAGCAGTTACTTAAAATGATCAATGTTAACATTTTTTCTGCTCTTTGTGACTCACACTATACCCTAGTCAGAAAACTTTAGGAGCTGAATGCACAGCACTAAGTCACAATGCTGAAGATTGTGGAGCCACTGAGATACAAAATTAGATAGGTCATTTGAAGTATATTAGGTCTAAAATAATCCATGACAAGGAAGTGTCATGGATTAATAATGAAGGTTCATTCTTTTATCTATGTCACATAAGAGGAATTTCTTCAGCATTGGGGTGTTTTGCTCTTCTACAAATCTGAAAGCGTTGAAAATAAGCCTTTGATGTTAACAGTTTATAAAGAACTCTACCAGTGAGATAGAGATTAGGAAAATTTACTTTGATCCAGTTTTAGAGCAACATAGACCACGTTAATGTTCATACACATGGACAAGCTTCCCTGAGCAGACTCAAGTGGACAAAAATATCCTCAGAGGAACAACACTATAGGCATAATGTTAATCACCTGTGACTTCTAACTGCAGAGAGATGTACTACATTGTGTAAGGTCTGGAAACATAAACATTGTAAAAAGGAAAACAGCAAAAATTTCTTGTAGAAAAGGAAAGCGAGGATTTTATCACTCCGTGTTTCACAGCAGGTACCTGACCAATTTAACCAACCAGACTATGACCCAAGCTCCTCACAACATGGATTACACTTGGGCTTTTCAATTACATGAAGTCAGAACTGGTTAGAGATAAAACAGCAGCAATTTATTAAGATGTATCACCAATAATCAGCAGCCCATCACATAAAAACAGGGTTTGTAATTGTGAATCTACCTTAGGATGAAATATACTTCAGAAGACTTATAATCCCTTTATCTAGGCCAAAAAGAACTCTTCAAGTGTGTGCAAAGAGCATTTTTAACTGAAAGTTTTCCCAAGAATTCAAACCAAACGTTTCCTCAAAATGTGAACTGATTAATAGCCCTGAGAAGCTGTTAGACCACCTACCTTCAGCATCATCCTGCAGGTCCTCAGGCTGCTCTTCTTTGCTCTTTGTGGGAGATGAAGGCTGGCCTTCTTTAAACATAAAACATTGTAAATTACATACATTATTTGGAAATGGTTTCATTGGATCAGATATTATCATGTGTGATATCACAATTGTATGTTTTATCTTAGCACTCCATTCAGTACTCAATGCTTATCTTTCTGCTATTTAAATTATTGCACCATCTCTTATGAAATTTATAATATGTGGCTTCCAGCCTGGTCTGGACTTTCTCAGACTTTCACAGGACAGCAGTGAAGAAAGCTCATACTTAAATAACATACTGCTTCACAAGCACTACAGAAACAATAATCATAACCCTCAGCCAAATAATGTTTTAATTTTTAGTTGTAAGCATAATATTTATTATACTGCATTATGGAACTGTGGAGAAATAATCTGATCTAAATGACCTTTTTTCTCAGCTCAATTCTCCACTCACTGTTTTAACACAAGAACAAATGAATATAGACTGAAATTAATAATTAAATGAAAGGTAGGGAAACAAATTCCACAGCTTTCACAAATTCACAAATTTCACAAATTTCCTTAACAGAGAGTGAAGTCAAGGAAATGAAAGCTTTACAAGATAGAAATGTTTGGGTTGAAAAAATCCATTCCAGCCTTTCAGAGAGTGGGCAATATCAAGCTGGAGGAAAGGGAGCAAAAATTGAGGTCAATTAAATGTGAGATCTCCCTTACTTGTATGGACTGAAGCACAGAGTGTTTAATATCAATTGGTTAAACTTCAAATATTATGAACTTTTTCTACAATATTTTCAAAATATCCTGTCAACATAAATGATGGCATTACTGTTTGTTTGCTATGACACACCTCAAGGCACAAACTGGTAGCAGAGAAAACCTGTTAATAAAAAGGGAGGCCAAGCTGGAAATTAGGCATAAAGGTATTCATAAATTAAGACATTTAATGCAAGCAGGTTCCCTAATTAAAACATTCTTTAAACATTGCTGCTTAACCACGAAAGCAGTGACTGACAGACAATTAAAACTCAATTCATTGCTCCTACTGAATGTATTCAACCGTGATGGGAAAATGACTCTCTGTCATTTGACTTTCTGTCAAGCCTCCTGATTCCTTGTGGCTAACTGAGGGCTTGGTTGCAGGAGAAGCCTAAAGAAAACCTACTTTTTTGTGTGCTGGAAATAAACCTTGACCACTCGTAACCAGGAAATTTAAGAACACATATGACCTCACATTATTCACCCCTATTGCTGTTGCCACTAGAAAATAAGGCTCATGATTAGCTAATTACCAACTAGGAAAAAATTACCTACACATGCTTTATAAATTGCTTAAGTGTTTCAGAAACTCCCAGGTCTCTCCTGCTGTCACATATATGCCACACAATCATCTACTCTTTATGTTGCTGGAGTTTTAAACAGCTCTTGACAAGGAGATGCTCAGCTCTCATGATGGTCTTGTCTCTTTTAAGACCAATAGATTCTCCCCTTTTATCTTCTACCTTTCCACAATTACATATATCTAGGACCAAAATGCTGAAAAATTTTGAAACAGATGGTATGAAGGCAAGTTAGGATGTGAAAAAGGAACTTGCAGATTCAAGGGGTAGTTGGACTCAATGATCCTTGTGGGTCCCTTTAATTCAGGATATTTTATAACTCTAAGAATATTGTGCTCATCCAAAAGACAAAAAAGGGAGTCAATCATTGGCTTTGAATGGAGTCCAGGGAACACAGAAATAGTCTCTGCCAACCATACTTATGCCCAAAAAACCCAAAAGACACATGGATTGGGAAGGTGGCAGGACAGCTCAAAATGGCAGCAAAAATTTCAAAATTGAGATCTATATGTGAGTAGTGAAATTCTGTCTCACTTCCTTAATTTTAATTAAAGAGCCTTATTAAAAAAAAAAAAAAAAGCCAATCTGAACATCGCTTTTATGAATTTCTACTAGAAGGGAGTTTACACTTCTTTCTAGAACTACACACAGCTCAGAGCATGAAGAGCCCTTAGCAATCAGTAAATAAAGCCAGTTATTGAAAAACAGAGCAAGCCTTGAGGTTTGGTTTGGTGGTAGACTGTTCCTGGGAGCACTTAATACAGGACATGTCATGTGTCATGCCATCATGCTTGCTCATCTGAATTTGAAATTCGAACACAGTATTTTGAGGAAAACAAGAGTTTTCAAGTGCTAAGATGAATTTCTTTCTGAAATGAAGAAGGCAGGAGTAACCACAAGAAAATCTGTGGGGAAAAATAAAGGCAAAGCCTGCCAAATAAAGACATGCTTTGTCAACCCCTTAAGGGGCTCAGGAGCAATGCTGATAGAGTTCAACAAGAACTGTAATACAAAAGAGACATCCTGAAAATAACCAGACTTGTGAAGACTTATTAATACCAATCCTCTCACTTTAAAAAAAAAAAACAAACTTGAATATTTATAGTGGACCATATCAACATATGGCTTCTTTGGTTAAAATGCCACTCTGAACTATCTGCTCTGTTTTCTTTTTTGTTTGAGAATAATTCACATGAGGGGACTGAATCAATAGGAATGCTTCAATCAACACTTCCCCTCTACTGAGGATTTTTATCATGTAACCAATCCATGAAGTTTCCTGCAGTCTTACACATCAAATGTCAATCCAGGTAAAGTGCAAATGTCCAGCCAGGTCTTTCAGGATTATTTGAATAGATTAGGTAATATAACCAACATCTTAATTGACAGCCCAAAGATGGAGAGGGAGGAGTTGTACATTCAGAGAAGTCAGAATTGTTAGCACAGATGCACTCTGTAAAAAGCCTTCAAAATGCTCACAAAATGGTGTAAAGGCAGTGTCCCAGGAGAACAAGATTTCAATCACTATTTCACTATTTTTAGCAGATATCCCTTATTCCAGAGACAGAAAATGATCTGTGTTTACAATGGTCAAAATAAAACTCTTAGCCCTTTTTGCTCTCCAGCCATGTGTATGTCCTTCCAAACAGTTAATCAAATATTACTGAAATTTTATCTGTAAATTTCTTTTTAAAAAGAGCAGATCTGGACAGGTGTCTGAACTGATCATATTAAAATATTTTCTAATTGTGATCATTTGTGCAAAAAGGTTTCTGAGCTCTACTACTGGGAGACATATTTCTTCTTTATAGGCTAATTCAGAGGGTCAGCAAGTCATGTAAATCCCACAGTCTGTCTCCAAGTAACCAATTTTCAAAATCCTTCACAACTCCCAAATTTGCCTTGTTGCACGTGATTGCTATTTTCATCTCAAGAATAAAAGATAAAGTCTCCCTCCAAAAATCAATCTCCAAGAGTAAGGGTGTGCATACAGTGGAACATGCCAAAAAACTCTGTATTTATGTATCTTGGTTGTCATAGGGTATTATTAGTTTTTAAGCCCTGATAATGTGAATGAGATCCTTCACCTTGTTGTTTTAACTGGCTGTGGCTTCTAGGAAATGAATAGGTGGTTCATCAGGACAATCAGGATAGAAACAGGATAAACAGCAGAGCATTTATTAGGAATAACTACTTGATGGGAAATGACAGTAGTGTGGCAACAAAGAGATGATGTCAAAAGGCTTTGGTATCTGGCAGAGAATGAAGCTGAACAGGTTGAGGGAGAATATAGATTCAGATTCAGAATTGAAAGATTTTCCTGAATGTTTATTTATTTTTTCCTTTTTTTTTAAATTGCAATAGCAATGGTAAGAGAACTGATTTATGTCAACAAACAATATCATTATTATGTGCTGACATAAGTCAATTATCTTAACATTAGGGAAAAAAAAAATGAAACAAAAACACTCAGGAAAAACTAACTACTGCATCATCTGATCCTTGTGTTATGTAGGGAATCATTCACAAAGTAAAGCTGAGATGTAGACCTGCACAGGCCCAGACCTGCTATTTCTATATCTGCCCTTTTGACTCAAACCCTGCTAACACCAACTGCATGACACATGATAACCTCAAAGCACTTCAAATTAAGTGGTGCCATTAAGCCAGCAACTACAAGACTCAGCATTCAGAATAACAGACAGCTAGATTAAAAGCTTATTAATCAAATGCCATTAGAAGAGTGGGTTTGAGTGTGTGTATTTAGAAAGAGTGGATTATTTTTATTTTTAAATGTTTTTTCTTATTCTACTATGTCCAATATAAGCAGTGATGTTGTATGATAAACTTGCCAAAGTTGTCATTCCTGCTTGTTGATTTTATAGAATGAATATAGATACTAATGGACATTATCTAGCAAATTGTCTTAAGGATGGTTTTTTATCCTATACCCATTTTTGTTTCTGTTTTTGTTTTGTGTCCAGTGTGGTCTCTGCCTCCCTTTCCCTCTCCTCCCCCAGCTCTAGGAGTATTGCTGTGGGTTAGAGCTAAAGTTCCTATACATGTCTAGTCTGCAACATGTGCTCTCTAGGAATCCAACCTCTCCTTTTCACTTCGAGCAAAACAATTGGAGAAAACACCCCAAATGGATATGGACAGCTCAAGGAAAAATTGGTTGTCAGTATTGGTGCCAGCTGTTGACTCCATCTGCTGCAGTCATGACCCATGAAGTCAAGTGGAATGAAAAATGATTATACAATTAATATCTTGTAGTGGTGACTAGAAGGTACTTCTCCATTTTCCCCTTTGAAGAGTAAATAGTAGATATCCTCCAAACTGAAAAAAAATTAGTATAAAAATGAAAACTCCCCTCAATGCAAAAATTATGCTTGTATTTATAATTCCAGTAGACACATGCTACAATCATTAAAAACTCCATGCAAAAACAGGTCAAAAGGGAATAACTTGTATATCTGCTTCACTACTGGGGTGGATATACAAAATACACTTATTTTTAGCCCTGTAGGTGTTAATTGCTTATAACCAATGCACTGATTCCCAAAATATCTCCAATAAATAAATAATTTTCTGATAAAGAAATAACCAAGGACGTGCTCTTAAAGCTCACAGCATCGTAGACCATCGAGGGCAGCTCTGATCTGATCTATCTCATATGCACAAAAGAAATGTCTTCTTCAAATTACATAATTCAGTGATAATTTCCCGGAGTATCTATGTAGCTTTACCTAAATTAATGAAGCTGGGAAGGATACATGACAAAAAAGTAGAATTGCATTCCTTTTAATTCTAATTTAAAATGCTTTAAAAAAAACCCAAAAAACCCACACCAATTTAATTTGCATAATCTCCATAAAAACGAGACAAAAAATGAAAAATAATTTGGCTTCTAAAAAGATACATGCCATGATAAATATAAAAAATTAAATAAGAAATGTTAGATGAATACTGCAAATTTAACAGGGGCATTATCTTTGGCAAATATTTGTTATATGATGACAAGTCCTTTTTTTTCCACTTTTATGTATGTTCTTACAACTTTATCAATCAAACTAACTGTATTAAAATTACTAAAATTTCCTATCCAGTAATCTTGACACCAAAATGTAATTACAATTACATGTAATAAAATCAGTAGGCCAGAACAGCCATAAAAGAATGTGCTAATCCATCAGTATAACACATATCTGTGCATATCTGTTTTCACACCTTTGTATATGCACCATTCTTTGAGTATTTCTAATTTCTCAGGTAATTAAGTAGTTGCATAAATGATCATAATCCATTTGTCTTTAGGACAATCTTTCCAATTTAAGTAGTCAAAATACTGCTTTAAGAGCTTTTACCTCTGTTTTCTGGCTGGTATATGCCTGCCTCTCCCCTTGTGGCACTCCTTTCTGACCTTAAGCTTAAAGTCTGACCTGAACTCCTTATGTTTTCATAAAGAGAGCTGGATGTTCCTGCACAGTCACTGGGCCGTGATGGGATCAGGGTCACAGAGACCTTGGAGGAAGCTTGGAAGGAGAGGCAGAGGAGCAGAGGGAGCTACTCTGCACCTGAAAGGAGATGCACTGCACAGAAATCCATATGGAACAGGAGATGTTCACTGAGGACTCTGGGAATCCAGAGCATCCCTCTGGCTGCCCTGGCATGTCTGGGATCCTGGCAGGGGTCAGGAACCCCCCTGGACAGAGCCCCCAGAGACACTGGCTGTGATCTCTGTCCATGGAAAAGAGTTTTCAATCTTACAGGATGAATTACCAGCTCTGAGTGTTTGATATAAGTAATAATTAAGTGTGGCATGGGTGCAAAAGTAAAATTTTAGGATTTTAGATAAGGGGTCCAAAGGGGACAAGCTGGAGGAAATTGGGTGTGTCTTGTCCTTTTTCTCCTTCTTCATGCCCTCCATGTTTCACTGTGGTGTTGGCATTTTTCTGTTGGTTCAGGCTGGGGACACACTGTCCAACGTAGGTGACAGATATTGGCGCGTTCTTGTAAATGCAGCCCAGGGAGTTTCTGGTATTTAATGTTTGTAACATCCCACTGAGGGCAGAGCCCCACACGCTGCCCTGCAGGACAGAGCTGGGCAGGGCAGCAGAACATGTGAGAGATAAACAGAATAAACAACCTGGAAACCAGCACAGACCAATTATGGCTTCTGCTTTGGCAGTGGGGCAGAAAGACAGAGACTTTTACAATCTTGGAATCATCAATACCTCTGACATAGCACCTCCAGGTGAGGGAGGGGAAGTATCAGAAGGTGCTGTGGTGGAAGTCTGTTACAAAAAACCTGGTCAAGATTAACTGGAACAAGCTTCCTTGAAAAAAACTTGCAGAAATCTCCTGAATGGAAGCTTTTGTCCTCATGGGAGTTATCTCATCCTCTGTCTGTCCTCTCCCTTTCTTGTTCCTCTGGTGTTTCTTCCCCATATATCTATTCATCATTTCCATTTTATGTTATCCACAAACCCTAAACAGTGACACTTGTTTTAAACAGTAAATTATGAGGACCAGGAAATAATCCTCTGAACCACTGTCAGACCAAGCTCAGTGTATTTAAGAGTTTGTGGAAGAGTTTTGCTACTGTTTTCATTGCAAACATATCACTGCCACTATTCAGAATGGTAAATGACTCAAGAATTGTTCTATTCACACTTTTCTACAGGCAAAGAGACTAAAGAATTATTATTATTTCTCCTTCATGTTCAAACTAGCTATTGATAAAAAGGAATGAAATATCTCCCAGAGGCTCATAAGGTGATGACATTAAAAAAGTAGTCTCAGCCAGTGTTACTATGCACTATTTATTATCAGGGATGGTACACCCCAATTTTGTGTAAAAACCAGAGATGACTGTGGTAACATTGGCAATAATGATTGGCACTGCTTATCTTGACTAAGGCAATTAATTTCTAGAATTTTTTCAGTTGGGCTTATGCTTCAGAGAAATAATATATATTAGCATAAAATATTCTTTACTCACCTCTCTCTTCACTCAGCTGAGGCCCTTCTTCATTAGCATCACCTGT